AGCATAGAAGCAAGATCATAGTTGATGGAAAAGGTCTTAACAACAGATTAAAACGCATTATACATGCAAGACAAACATTGCAGAGCTTCAGAGCAGTGTGAAATAGTGAGCTCATGTCAAATAACACATGTAGGTATTCTGGGATTGACACAATAGATTAATTAACTAAAGAAGGTCTAAGTTATGCCATAAAACAAAATGTTTCAAACAGGGCAGGGAAAACAAACTGTTAAAATCTCAGTCAATCACTAATGGGGTATGGGGATCATGCTGAGTGACACAATAGTAGGGGAACATGTCATAATTAACACAGGAAGTTCTAGCACAAGTGTGAAGCATTCATTATAGAGATTAAGGACAAAGCAAGCAGGCATGTTTAGGAACATTCAGGCACCAATACACTAGTTAAACGAACTTAAGAGGGTCAGATTATCCAAGTTAGACTTAGGCAATCTCAGAACTAGCAGCATTAGGAGGAAGTTAAATGCTAAGGAGACTTAGAACAAAGTAAAGTTAACAGAATCGTGCACAAAAGTAATCCAGAGAACATATTAATCCATGGATTTCAGAGGTGAGAACACATGTAAATCAAAGACACATAAGGATGAAATTGCGAAAGTCAAGTGGCTTACCAGTTAAACAGACAACAATAAAGAACAAAAGATACACAAGAACCCAGAAACCTCGATGCGTCAAAGTTCCCAAGAGCTTCCAAAGAACCCCGGGCAATGCTTGCACTAAGAGAAAGTTCGAACAATAGACTCTCAGTGGCCTTGGCTTTCAGCCGGCCAGCACAGAACAAGATAATGAAGGAATTAACAGAACAAAGCCTCAAATTTTTTTAGTGAGATTATAGCGATTCCCAGTCTGTCTCAAAGGGGAATAGGGAGGGGTTTATATAGTGAAAGAAATCGAACAAGTAAACAAGGAAAGCTGTAAAATCAAACATGAATAAGGAAGTATTAACATGTAGAATCAATAAAAATCAGATTAGGGAAAAAAATAAGTAAACCCTAGTTGACATAAATCAGAAATTAACCGGAGATCCTGGCTAATCAGACTCAAATAGCCTGGATATAGACGAAATATTGCCTAAAATCAAATATTCGAGCCATTTTAGTTCGGTCTTTGAAGGTCACACTTGCCAAAACAAGCAAGTACTCAAGTATCACCATAAACGGACAACCAGTAGCGAGAGGAGATCAATAAGGTAAGTGAATTAGTGATTGATTCCATCTTAGGGTCGGATCTGGAGAGATTGAGATGCAGCGGCTAGGTTTCGTAGGAGAAGGGAATGGAGAGTGTTTGAGGGCGGCATTTTAGAGGGAATGGTATTAGGGTTAGAGGATGGGGTAGTTTAGAAGGGATTGATTTTTTAGGGGTCGTTGATCATTTGAGATCAACGGCCAAGATGAAAGAATGGGGTTGGGCGGGTCGTTTAAATGGGTTATTGGCCGGGTTATTTTAAAAGGGTGGTTTGGTTTTGGGCTTGGGGTAATTGGGCCAACTCTTGTCCGAAAATTGGTTAAAATTGGCTATTATTTAAATATCTAAAATTTATCAAAAAAATTTATGAAAAATGCTTAATAAATAAATGAAAATATTATTTATGCACTAAAATGATTAACAATAATGATTTTGCATTATAAAAATATAGAAGGCTATTTTGACACCAATATTATAGATAAAAAGCAATTATATATGAATATAGGTTATTATTGCAAAACTAGGTAAATAGCTTAAAAATGCAAACATAATTATACGAAATAAAGTAAAAAATATGATGAAACATATACGAGGATGCAAAATAGTACTTTTGGATGATTAAGTTATTACAAAATAATTTGAAGGAGTAATTAATAATTATTCAAGTAATTTACATGCAGGAAAATAATTTAAAAGCTCTAAAAATTATGAAAAATTATAGAAAATGCTTGTGTAGGTTTATAAACTAAATAATGATGCAAAAATGATATTTTAAAAGTATATATATTTTGAAAAAGTATGATGGCAAAATTGGGTATTAACAAATAGCAATAACCAAAACAACATCGACATCCCCATTAACATAGACCAAATAAAACAAAGAGCAACCGAATTCAAACTCCTTACTGAAAACAGCCTCAGCCCTCTAAGGAAGATCACTATCAATATAAAATGGCATAAACGACCGAAAGGCTGGTACTATATATATATATATATATATGCAAGCTTCAAGAACAACAATAAAAAAAGTGGCCTGGGAGGTGTATTCAGGAATACAATAGGGAGTTGGGTGGTAGGTTTTACAAAATCTACTCATGCAAATGGCTCACTTGAGGCAGAAATTAAGGCACTCCTAGAGGGTCTCCAAACAGCCCAAGAATGGAGAATGTTCCCACTGGATATTGAAACAGACTCCACGGAGGTAATCCATTCTATACAACAAGGCAATAGACTATATGACAATATTGTTAATGAATGCAGGTTGTTAATGCACCAGGAGAAGGAAGTGATCCTCCGGCACGTATTCCGGCAAGGGAATAATTAGCACACCAACTGGCAAAGGAAGCTAATGCTCAATCAAGGAGAAACAAATATTATGTACGACCTCCATCTTATGTTGAAACCTTTGTATGGGATGATGAAAAAGAACAATGTGTTTTTGTTAAGTACTCAGCATATGATGCTTGCAATGTACTAGCAAGCCTAGGTAATCAATGTGTCCTAAGTGACATGGGGTATGACTTTGATGTACTAAATAATATGTAGTATTAATATAAATATTTCCTGTTTGCTCAAAAAAAAATAATAAGATGGGAATTAGGGTGCAATTTTATAAATATTCTAGAGTATTTTTCAATACCAACATTGGTAGCCACTTCTTATCTCTCAAAATCTTCTCCTCCTTCTTCATCAATCAAACACCATTGTAGAGCTCAACACATAGCTCTTTTTCCATCAATTAAACTCAAGTTTTAGAATATTAAAAACCTGTTTTCTTATCTATTGAAGGGAATCTTAATCTGGAGAAACGGTCAAGTAGTTTTCGTGTGACCTATTCTTTATGGGTTCAAGCTGTGGAAGCAGCCACTAATACTTGATCTACATAGTACCCCTTGTAATGCGGACCTTCTCTGGACCCTGCGTAAACGTAGAATCTCCCTTTTTAATCATTATCTCCTCAATTTGAAGAAAGTATTAAAAGTATTTTATCCACTGTCCACGTGGAAAGTTACATCCTCTAACCTAGGTAATGTTTGGTTGGTACTAGACGGTAGTAGAGAAAAAATAATAATCTCTACATACATAAAATTTTAACATTGCTAATACATATGTTGGCGTTTCACTATTCCGCAAGTAAATTCTTTGAAACTACGAACGACTGTGGTGAAATGATAAATATATTATCTATCTTTAATCATAAGTTTTCGGTTCGGGGAGAACGAAGTCACATTTAGTAGGCAGTGTTTTACACCAAAAGTAGGGCTTTCGGATATAAATCCAAATTAGTCGGGCCCACTAGCTATATACACCAAGTGAGATACCAAACAAAAAATAAAAGAAAAACCCTTTTATATAAAGTAGATTTATAATCTTGAAAATAAGACAGACTATTGTTACAATAAGTAAATATGATATGATAATGTAAAAAATCCTTAAACACTGTATATTTATATAAGTTAAACTCATTATGAAATCACATGGTAATGAGGTATTTTTCCTCATTATTTAGCAACTCGACCACGTTAGTGACCTCAAAATAGGGGTTTAAAAACTCATCTAGTCTCTCACAAACAATCATTCTCTTATTTAAGATAGGAAATTTGGCCCCAAAAAAATTAAGATATGAATCTAGTAACTAGTTGCTGCTTCTGACATGGTATTAACTGGCGTTTGAAATATATACTAAAACTAATAGCCGTCTTTCACATTTCACAAGCTGTAATTTTCTTTATTTAGTATCGCAAATTGCACTGAGAGTTCAATATTAAAATAAAATGTTCATTTCCAGTTGACAACAAGTAATTTCTTTAGCCATAACATGTGATCCGAAAACAAAAGAAAAGTACTACTAAAAAAACAAGAATTAGCGACGGACAAATTATGTAGCTAAGCAGTAAATTCGTCGCTAATCCTACTTAGCGACAGATTATCAAAAAATTATGTTAGCTATGAGCGATTTAGCGACAAAGTTCGTAGCTAATTCCATTTTTTTTTTTTTTGCTTAGCTGGATGAAAATGAAGAAGAAAAAAAGTTATTAATATTAGAAGAAAACTTGCACTGTTTAATTTTCCTTATTCAAATCAATTAGGAAGGTGTGGAGGTGGAGAAAATTTAGGATAAAAGGCTAGATAGTCAAGTGTTTTCCTTGTGCGTACCAGTCGTAGTAGTGTTAGTCTTGTATTTTCCTATTCGTAGATTTCTATAACTATTTGCTATTTCTTTCGCTTCGGTTTTCATGTTGGATTGCTGGTATTACTGCTTGTTGTTACGACTTCTTTTTCATCTTTCCTTGAGCCGAGGGTCTATCCGGAACAACTTCTCTACCTTTATCCAAGGTAGGGGTAAGGTCTCTATACACATCGACCCCAAATCTCACTTCTGATGTGGATTTGTTGTTATTGTTGTCGTCGTCGTCGTCGTCATAAATAGAAAGTGAACCACAGTACTCTACTAGTTAGGGATGTATATAGAAATAACGAGGAAACAAACAAAACGACCAATAATTGTATGATATCTAAGTGTTCATGAAAACTAATATATGGCAAGAGAGTGGAAATATTAAAAAATAACAATCACTTTGCTTTACTCCATTTTCTGTGTAGCAGGTAACAACTACTTGTTAAAAAGATACTATGGAAATATTCAAAGTGATGAAGAAATGGACTTTAATTAATAAGATGATAATTTGTAGATCCAGCTGTTAAGAGTTGTTATAAATTTTAGTCTTTGATTATCAATCAGACCAATTGAATTGGTCCTTTAAACAGCTCTTTACAAGCAATTGCTTCCCTAGGAACGTTACTATAAATACATTGGCCATTGATCCCTTAAAGGCATCATCTTTCAACACTGTTTCCTTTCTTCTTCTACCCCTTCAAAGTTTTTGGAGACTTCACTAGCCATATTTGGGAGGCTAGGGCAGGAATTTTCCAGCGAAATGAGTCGGTTTCACGGTGGCGGCCCCGCCAAGGGTCGTCGATATTTGCCACAAGTCTTACTGGCATTGGCCATATTGGCAGTTGCTAATGTAGTGTCAGCAGATCCTTATATATATTCTTCTCCACCACCTCCTTCTCCTTCTCCACCACCTCCTTCTCCTTCTCCTTCTCCCCCGCCACCATATGTTTATAAATCACCTCCACCTCCTTCTCCATCACCACCTCCACCATATGTGTATAAGTCTCCTCCACCCCCATCACCTTCACCCCCACCCCCTTATGTGTATAAATCACCACCTCCTCCTTCGCCATCTCCTCCGCCCCCGTATGTGTACAAATCTCCTCCTCCACCATCACCTTCACCACCACCTCCATATTATTATAAGTCGCCACCTCCACCTTCACCATCACCTCCACCACCATATTATTATAAATCTCCGCCGCCACCCTCGCCATCACCTCCACCTTACTATTATAAGTCTCCACCGCCACCTTCTCCTTCACCTCCTCCACCATACTACTATAAATCTCCACCACCTCCTTCACCTTCACCTCCGCCACCTTATTATTACAAGTCTCCGCCTCCTCCATCACCATCACCGCCACCACCATACTATTATAAGTCACCACCACCACCTGCTAAGACACCTCCTCCGCCATATTATTATTCCTCACCGCCACCACCAAAGAAATCACCCCCGCCACCATATCACTATACTTCCCCACCACTACCAGTTAAGTCTCCCCCTCCACCATATTACTATTCCTCACCACCACCACCAAAGAAATCACCCCCTCCCCCATATCACTATAGTTCCCCACCACCACCAGTTAAGTCTCCTCCTCCACCATATTACTATTCCTCACGACCACCGCCCAAGAAATCACCTCCTCCACCATATTATTACTCTTCTCCACCACCACCAAAGAAATCACCACCGCCACCATATCACTACTCTTCCCCACCACTACCGGTAAAGTCACCTCCAACTCCATACTACTACACCTCCCACCACCTCCAAAAAGTCTTCTCCCCACATACTATTACGCTTCACCACCACCACCTACTCAATACTATCC